ATGCAATGCAGCTATGTGTGTGTCATTACATACTAGCGGTCTGTAGGCCAGGTGCATACTGTGCTGGTCTGCTAATGCGTAGTTGCAGCCTGCTTTGCATTTCAAACGAAATGCATGGATGAGTTCTTTTGTCTCATTGGCACCATGCTTAAATTGGACGTCTGCATGAGCTCAGTGTCTTGTTTAAAAAGTGTGACAACCTGTACAAAGTAGATACATGAGCTTAGTCCACAAGGGCTACAGATCTCTGGCATGCAGAACTGTGCAAGTGCAAATACTAGAAGCTTACAACGCAATTTAAATTAGACAGTGAACCTGTGCAAAGCTCTTTCCCTTGTTAGCAAATCAGGCATCTATTACCAGTACGGGAAAGAGGGGATAAGATCCAACCTAGACAGTACAGGTATTAACAAGTCAGATCTTGGTTCCCTGTTTGGGGCAAATAATGCCCCCCGAGTCTGTTTTGGGTTGGTGAAATGGTACAGGGGAAGGCTGAAGCCTCAGTTTGCCAACCTCCAGGTGGCACCTGAAGATCTACTGCTATATTACAGTTGACTTCCAACCAAGATCAGTTCTAGGTATTTCTCAACCCAGAACTGGCAACCCTAATAGCCCCTTCCCCCCCACCAGGGTTCCAGTTTAGGAACTTATTTCCTCGCAACTCCAGTCTGGCACATCAGGTCAGGGGAATCTAAAACTGAGTTGGAATCCAAACCTGACTTGGATGTTACTTCTAGTTTGGATTTAAGCAGGGGTAGTTTCGTAGAAAAAGAGCTAGGGGAACTCATTAGCATAACTCATTAGCATATGCCACACCCCCTGACATCAGGGGCCCGGCGGTGGACCTGCAAGGCTGGCGGGAGTGCGGGGAAGCCCCGCCAAGGCCCTCCCTGGCCCCAGGCAGGCAGGGGTGGGGAGAGACGGGGAGGAAGCAACTTACCCTCCCTCTTCGCCCGCCTCCTCCTGGCTGAATGAGGGCCGAAAGCGGGGCGGCCGGAAGCAAGGGGTGGGGCTTCGTCGTGTGCCCCGCCCCCTCGCACCTCACCCGGGGGAACTGCGATCCCTCGCGGTCCCCCCCGAAATGACCTCTGGATTTAAGAGGTTGTGCTTTGGAAAAAGTAGGTTTCCAGGAAAATACTACATTGATTAATGCTTTCCTGTTTCAAAAGAGGCATTCTCCACATTCTGTCTACTTTTGCATTTCTGTGCATTATAATAGATTTGCTTTTAAAAGCTGTAATTCAAACTTCTTCCATTAAGTCAGTTATCATTGCTGTCATGAGTGATTCTTTTAGGTGCTCCACATTCTCAGGATGCCAGCTAATTAGTTCAGTGACTAAAACACATACGTATGCATTTTCTCACCATATATTGCATTTTAATGTATCTGAAAGGATTATAGCTTGCTACATCTCATTGTTTATCTCAATTTAATAATCAGATTATAAAAATATATCTGAAACATTTTATTAATATTTCACTGAAGAGATTTCGTTCACTTAGCATGACAATCATTAAGCACCAAAAGAGCTACTTTCAATCCCTAATAAGCTCCTTTAAGATTTGCATAGTGGGGAAGGAGAGAAAAAAAAGATATAGGAAGCTAATCCTAAAATACAAAACATTAATTCTTCATCTGCAATTACAGTTCAATGCCACATGATGGCACTCCATATTGTAACCCACTGATTTGATTTTTTTTGGCCGGGATAACATCTGTGTAATTGCTAGAATGGTTTAAATATAATTATTTTGCAAAGTCATGCTATATCTTCCTTGGAGCACAAGCTTATCATCTTTGAAGCACCGTATTTCACATGTCATAGACAGAGAAGTATCCCAGGGGTGCCATCATTAGAGGGTGGTGTGGTATGTTCTTAGTGTACCTAGTAATGTATGAGAGATACACACTTTTTTTCCACAGCACCCCTGAGTAGAAGGGAGCACAGACAATTCACAGATTCGTTCAGTTGGTACACATGGTGAAAAAGGTCTTGCACCTTGTAGGATATATATGCTGTATCCAGGGCTTCTTTTGTAGAAAAAGCCCAGCAGGAACTCATTAGCATAATAGGCCATACCCAACAGCAGAAACTCATTAGCACATTAGGCCACACCCCCATGTTACCAGAAGTGTGCTCATCCAGCCACACCCACCTTTTGCTTCTTATTCTGTTTACCTTGTTTGTTGTCAAAACCTAGGGCTTCTTTGTAGCAGGAATTCCTTTGCATGTTTGGCCACACACCCCTAATGAAGCCTATCCTAATGAGTTTCTGATGTTGGATGTGGCCTATTATGCTAATGAGTCCCTGCTGGGCATGGCCAACTTGGAAGCCAGCCGGAACTCCGTTCCTGTGCATTTCTGCCCAAAAATAGCCCTGGCTGTATCCATTCTATTTGTAATGGGATGAAGAGGCCATGTAAGCCAATCTTTCCCAAGAGACATGTATACAAATAAATTTCATCATTCCTGAAATGCTGTGTGAAGCTAGTAAAAGCAAATCTGAATACTGTCTGCAAAAAAAAGTTACTCATCCAGTTTTCTACCATTTTGGGGCCTGAGAAACAAAATAGCAAAGAGCAGTTCTCACAAAAAGTATTTTTGATGGTGTCCTATCTAGATAGATAGATAGATAGATAGATAGATAGATAGATAGATAGATAGATAGATAGATAGATAGATAGGACACCATCAAAAATACTTTTTGTGAGAACTGCTCTTTGCTATTTTGTTTCTCAGGCCCCAAAATGGTAGAAAACTGGATGAGTAACTTTTTTTTGCAGACAGTATTCAGATTTGCTTTTACTAGCTTCACACAGCATAGATAGATAGATAGATAGATAGATAGATGATAGATAGATAGATTTGTCATCAAGTCACAGCCTGTAGGGTTTTCAAGGCAAGAGACATTCAGAGGTGGTTTGCTATTGCCTTCCGCTCCATCTCCTGGGTTTTGGCCACTGTGTGACACAGAGTGTTCGACTGGGTGGAATATTGGCCTGATCCAACATGGCTTCTCTTATGCTCTTATGTCTCAACGCTGGTATTTCTCGGTGGTCTCCCGTCCGAATACTAGCCAGGGCAGACCCTGCCTAAGCTTCCGAGGTCTGACAAGATCAGGCTAGCCTGGGCTATCCAGGCCAGGGCTAAAACACTTTACCCTGGTGAAGGTAAACACTTTACTCAGAATGAGATTGCAGAATGTATATCACTTCAGGGTGCAGGTGGGAGAGGATGTCATGTCACAGAATACTCCCCTAATTAATTAAAAATAAACACGCACACATGGCTTCCAGTTTCCTGCAACCGTCCTTACTGAAACAAAATGCTGATGGGACTGACAGGTATGTAGAAATGCTTTCCAGTGGTCCCAACTGCTCGAAGAGTACAAACAATGCCTGTTGTTGGTTTTTTAAAAAAAATTTATTAAGAAAAACATTTGTAAACAGCAGCATATCTCAAAATGCATAATACAAAGTATCAATTTGTGGGAGAAAATGGCACAAACATGAAACTAGTAAAGTAAACATAACTCAACAAAAATACAACATATTACTTTGACTGCAACTGCATCAATCCTAAAGTATAAACTCCATATTTAAGTTCTATAAATGAATGATTATTGATCTGGAAAAGGACTAAATAAGCTCTGTCAGTATATACAACATGTTCTAAAGAGAAAGATGGTTGAACATAACTAGAAACAAATCCAGGGAAGATATGAAGATTTTGAGGGAATGATGTTTTTCTCTGACATAAATTGGAGAACTCTGGACCATGTAGCAACTTTCTGGTAGTTGTTCTGAAAAAATCTCCCAGAAGACTCTTCGAAGAAGATTCATAGAATCATAAAATGTTGAGTTGGAAGGGACCTTGCAGGTCATCTAGTCTAACCCCCTGCACTCTGCAGGAGCATAGCCAAAAGCTAGCCCTACAACATACCCAAAAGATGGTCGTCCAGCCTCCACTTGAAAACATCCAGCAAAGGAGCATCCACCACCTCCTGAGGCAGTCTGTTCCACTGCTCAGCGACTCTTACAGTTAGGACGTTTCTCCTGATATTTAGCTGGTAACGACTCCTTTGTAATTACCACCCATTAGATCTAGTTTTGCAATCCGGAGCAAGAAAAAATAGATCCGCTCCATCTTCTGCATGACAGCCCTTCAAATACTTGAAGACTGCAATCATGTCCCCTTTAAGCCTTCTCTTTCCCAGGCTAAACATACCCAACTCTTTCAGCCTTTCCACATAAGACTTGGATGGATTCCAACCCTCTCACCCTCCTGGTTGCCCTCTTCTTCCCCTCTGCAGTTCTGGAGAGGATGTAAGATTAAGTTTTTAGAGGGCTTTTGTCTTGGCCAAACGAATGTTTTTTAACTTTCTAGTTTTGATGGAAGCTGGTTGGTTTTATTTTAAATTTGTTATTACTGGCTATTGTGATGGCCGTTCTTAATATATTCGTTTTATTGCTGTTTACCCAGTTTTATAAACCTTTAAAATACATAAATACGTAAAAACAAACCAGAAGAGAAAAGTATAGGCTACATTCCAAGTTTCTGTCTATATTGAGAATCTCAAGCATTTTATTGGTGGTAATAGTGGAGTGGAGAGCAGAGAAGGGCCTTTAAAAGAGAGAGAGAGAGAGAGAGGGGTGCCGGAATTCTCAAGAGGGAAACTGCCTGTCGATAAATTGCTGTGTTTTCTAAAATTTCTAAATCAGCAACATGGAGACAAAGGGTATGTTTTCTACCTTTAATTACATATGTACAATTCTTACTATCTCCCAAGGACTCTGAAATCTCTGTATGAAATATTAATCCTATGAAAATATGAAGAGCGAGAGAGAGCGAGAGAAAGAAAGAGAGCTTCTACTGTCTCCGGAGAAAAGAAAGGGTTGCCATGGCAGGCAGGGTCGGAGGGTTCTCGGAAACAGGAAGCAGTCGATTGTGAACTACATTTCCCAGAACGCTCTTTAAGAGGCGGGACTCGAGGGATTGGTGAGCTGCTGTTGGAAGACATTAACCGGGCAACCTGAGCCCTGGGCAAAGGTTCGGGGAGTCCGTCACCCCAAGGTAGGAGCAAGGGGTCGTTTTATATTGGTTGCGATCGCCTGTTATAGGGAAGGGTGATGTAGGTGTCCTTCGGTCGTGGTGGTGCCTTGGCCTACTTCGGTATGACGTTTGACTCTTGAAAGTTGGAGGATGGAACATTTATTGTTATTTGTCCTTGCAACTGTCAGGCGCTGCCTGTAATTGAGAGGATGGGCTCAGATGTGTGTTGGGAACCCCCCCCCCCTTCCAAGAGGAGCGTGGTGGGCAGAATACGGAATATTGGGTGGTATATTACGCTGTTATGGCAAAGGGATGGCTAGTGCTCCAGAAAGAAGATGGCTTTGCAGAGCTGATCCGTAAGACCCACTGAATAGCCTTGAATATAAGGGTGAGATCTGTGGAGATCAAGTCGCTAGGAAGACGTTTTGAACGATCAGTTTGGGGAAACGGTGGGAACGACAGGTATTTATTGCGCTTGAGGGGAGTGAAAGAATGATGGGAAGAGCTGGGTATCAGGAGTGGAGGGTGTTGCACTTAGATGTGTGTCAAAGGCTTGAAGAGCACAAGGTGTGTAGGGGGTGCTTGTGTATTGTTTGGTGGACTGGGAAAGGGCTTACGTACAGGCTGTATATCAGCAGTTGCATTAAATTTAATAATTTCAGATTGGTTGATGTGTTCACCTGTCGTAATAAAATTAAACAGGAGCCTAGTAGCACTTTAAAGACTGACCAAACGTATTCTATCTTATGTTTTTATGAATCAGCGCTCAGTGATTCATTAAAGCTTATGCTGACATAAGTTTTGTTAGTCTGTAGGATGCAACTGGGATCCTATTTAAATTTAATGTAGATTGTAGTCTCCTGAGGCAATTGTATTTTGTGGGTCACATTTGGACAAACATACTCTATAAAACACTTTTAACTACTCTTGTGTTGGAGAACAAGATGACTAGGGGTATAAAAATTGCTGATCTCCACTCTTCTGTCATTCCCCCATGCATGTTGATGGTGCTTGTCATCCACTTTTATATTTGTAAATACAGAATTGTGAGGGGGATCAGGTGTGTGAACCATTAAGGTCATATTTCTGTGAACACTACTGTTTGGGAGCAAGCTCCATTGAACTCAGTGGGACTTAATTTCTGAATAAATATGCCTGTTATGGGGCTGCATAACTTAAGTATGTGGAATGTGCAATACAGTAGAAAAACTAACAATGGAAAGAGAAAAAGAAGGGAGAAATAGATAGTATGTAGGAAGTGAAACCTGTGTGGCGTGGGAAACCAGTGTATATTCTGGGTTTACTTACACAGTCTCATCCCACCCACCCCTGAATATTTTCCAGTGCTTCACAGCTAAAAATAGGGAGACTCTTGAATACTTCTGATATTCTTGTTCTCGCACCAAGGATCACTGCCTGAGCTCCCTTCCCTTCCACTAGTACCGGTTGCTGAATGCTGTTTTCTCTCTGCTGTATTTCACACTGCAGTAGCCTATCCTGTCCTGGTTACCGAAGTAGATGTGTTAGTAAAGTGGCCACACCAGTATCCTTTTAAAACCAAAAACAAGAATGTTGACTCATCCAATGGATCTAGTTGTACAGAAAAGCTGATGCCTCTTGAAAACACACCACATTTTCGATAGGGATAGGCAGCTCTTGGAAGTGAAGACCCTCATACAGTTTCTTAAAAAGCACCCCCAAAAAAAGAAAAAAAAAGAAAAAGAGAGGCGCAGTGGGCAGCAGTGTACTACGGTAGGAACAGGTCCCAAACACTAGGAAAGATGGTTACAGTTGGCCTGTACAGGCAAGTAGTGCAGGTTGTAGAAGAGGGTTGATTTATGGAAACCGAGGGGGAATGTTTGTGTGAGGGAGAAGGAACACTGTCCACAACTCCATGGAGGTGATGGGTGAAGGAAGCTTTTTTTGGTCAGGCGAGAAGCAAAAGAGCTCCTGAGGAAGAAGTGGCGTGCCCTTGTTTTTACTCTTTCCCTGACTGAAGGAGGGGACGGAGCCACACAGCCGTGGTGGGCCCTCACTAGACACTCCCCCCCCCCAATATCTCGCATTTATTTGGCTGCAGGCTCCTCGGGGAGGGGAAGCCGCCGCTCCTGCTGTGGCGATTCCAGTGGATACCATTCAAGGCTCAGGTGAACAAGGAGGGGGGAGATGGCGGAGACGGAGAACGGCGGCTCAGTGCATGCGACTCGCTTTGAGGCGGCCGTGAAGGTGATTCAGAGCTTGCCCAAAAATGGTAAGTGAAGGAGGGCAAGTGATGGTATTGGAGACAGACCGGGGGAGGGGGGTTGGGGGCTGGGCATACAAGACCCCCTTACTCCTGGAGAGGGAAGCGCTGAGCATTTGAGTGCCTCTTTGAACGGGGAGCAGAGAGAGTAGGTTAATTCTGCCGGTCGAAATGGGTCTGGACCCTGATTCTGTTTGAGCCCCACCCCCCATACACCACACACCCCCTGGGAAAGAATTGCATGGTTCTATTTTAGCCCCCCCCCCCAAGTACCCACTGGGAAAGAATTGCATGACATATTCACTTTGCCAGGTAATGGAGGTTTAAAAAACAAACCACTAGGGCACTTTCTTGACAGTTCTGGCCTGTCAGCCACCCCAACCAGTTGATCTTCTCAGAAGGGAAGTGGTGAATGTAATGCCCAGGTGTCCCTTCTGCAAGCTGGTAAAGGTTTATGGAGAGAAGGAAAAGGGACAATGGTGCAAAACTTGAGGATACTTTGGGCATGATGTGTTAAGGGAAATGTTCTTCAAGAACAGTTATTTAAAGGGGGGGGGGGAGACCACCTCTGGTTGTTCCTTCCCTTTTCTGCCTAGGCAGTGATATCATGTTCTTGTCCTTTCCACTTGGGTTCCGTACATATTTACAGTGAAAGTTCTTAAACTTGACAGCAAGTCTGGAAAATCTCAGAAACCAAAAGTTATCTATTCCTGACACCTAAGAAGCCTTCTGGCAAATCTAGAAGTCAAACATGTTTTGCAAGTTTTAGATTCCCCCCCCCACTCCGTTGGAGTGTGTGTTACAATAAAAGTTGGTTAAAATAAAAGTTGCATGGTGTCGTCACTATTGTTGCATAAAGGAAGGATTTTTATTTTTTGCCTTCGGCATGTTTGATTCACACTTGATTCTGTATCAGTGACAGTTGTGGGTGTAAATAATCTGGGTTACAAGTTCTTTTTCTTTTCCCACTCCACCCCTTTGTGAAATGGTTGGAGTAGCACAGGAATTCAAGCCACTGAAAGTACAGACTTTTAATTTGTGGGTTAGTGAATAGTAGTTAAAGAGGATAAGGCATTCCTCTCTTCCCTCAAGCCTGATTATTTGCAGTTCCTAAAACAAAGCAATATTTTATAATGACTCAGATCTGATTATGTCCTGGATTTGATTAGAGGGCTCTCAGGTCTGTTGGTTTGTTTGTTTAGAAAGGTTAGAAAAGTTACCAGCTAGTCACTTGTGGCTACTATTTTATTTGTACAAGTTTTCATTATCCTTGAACGGTCTTGTAAGGTTTCTTCCTCTATGTCAATTTTAAATCATGAAACTCTCTCCACAAGTTGCAACTGTGGACAGGGCCGGCTCTACTGTTCAGCTAACTGAGGCAGTTGCCTCTCAGTGGCAGACTTTGATGGGGGGGGGGCTTCCACCCTGCCTGTGCATCATTCCCACCATCGCTGCCGCCCCCACCCAGCAGCCAGAGCAAGTCCTCCTTTTGCTGCTCACCCAGCCTTTGTAAAAATAGAACAGCCAGCCGGGCTTTCCAAACTCTCTCCAGGTTCATTCAACTCACAAGAGTCTGACCATCCCTTTACTGTGGAATCTTAAGCAACCAATTGGTACACTATAGAGTGGCTTGTTTTTAATTGGGGGGGAACAACGAGGAGGAGAGAAGGATTAGCTTTTCAGGCTTCCAGGTGTGTGTAGGTGGGATAGTGGTGAGAATAGCCTTAAGCAGCAAAATGTCTGGAGCTGGCACTAACTCTGGGTCAAAAAGTGTTATGTAGAGATGGTTCATGTATCCCTAATGGGACTCAATCATGAGGAACTGATTTCCAACATAATGTGACTTTGTTATAAAACTGGATGTGCCTCTAAGTATGTATGAGCACATATTCAGGCAAAATAGTTTTTTCCAAAATTATCATATCACAGATGTGTGTATGACCCTTCCAGATGGTGTACAAATCCAGGTATTGGCTGTTGGCTTCCAACACTAGCTCTGCCGAAAGTGAAACCATTAGCCGTGCAAAAATTCCCTCCTGGTTTAGGGGCGCTAGGGCAGCCATCAAGCTGATATGGCAGACACTACTTGAAGCAGCTTGGGTTATCATAGCATAACCTCCCATGCTATTTTAATGCAGACTCCATGAGAGGGCTGTGAATGTCTGTGGCTTCTTCATTATGTGGTGTAGCTACAACAGGATATGTGAGCTGTACCATGGTAAGCACTCTCCCTTGTTCAATCCCATAGTAAAAACCATATGAGAAGATTTGGCAACCAGGTTTTCTTCGTTCCTCTGGACACATGCCTTGCAGTAAGAGATGAAACAATGAAGTTTGGTTTTCAGCCAAGAACTATCAAGCAGTAATTTTTAGTAGTAATATCTTCAAAGTAATACTTTGTATTTTTACAAGAATAATTTGGTCACTAGATCCTCTCCAAATGTTACATGAAAATAAACGTGGGCAGGAGGGAGAAACTTTTTAATCTGAAACCTGTGTGGATGAAACAAAAGCTTCATTCTGAGTCCTTACTCCTCCTACAGCCAAAATTTTCATAACCAAGGTACTGCATATAATGCAGTCTCTTGGTTATGAAAATTTTGGCTGTAGGAGAGTTGTAAGGAATTAGAACGAATGCAGTCAATTAATTTTGACTTTAGAGTTTCCATAGAAAATAATGTGCTTTGACATTACTGTCTCTTATGGTTTTTCTCACTCTAAAATTATTTTCACTAGGTTCATTCCAACCCACAAATGAAATGATGCTCAAGTTCTATAGCTTTTATAAGCAAGCAACCCAAGGACCTTGTAATATTCCAAGACCTGGATTTTGGGACCCTATTGGTAGATATAAATGGTAAATATCATGTGTGAAAGAGGATGTTTTCTAAGTTGTGACATTCAGAGCACTTCTTGTGTTAGGCCAGAAGACATGGGGTTGTAGCCTCCTGCTCTTCTCAGCTCTGCGAAGCCTTTCTCCAGCAGAAGAGGCTCTTTTGGAGGAAGGCTCTACACCTAACTGAGTAAAGTAGTCGAGTGCAAGTCTGTGTTGGTAAGCTTTATATATGTATATATATTACCAACAGCCGGGTATAGATTCCCCCTTTCCCCCTCTCCCTTTCCAACCTGAGGCCTGCTGCCATTTTAGACATGCAGGCTCCAGATGTAGCATCTTTATCCACTTGGAGACAGACACGTGCATCCTGTCTTGTATCTTGTCTTATAAGTAGGATGGCTTGAACCAGAGGTCATTTCGGGGGGGATCGCGGGGGATCGCAGTTCCCCCGGGTGAGGTATGGGGGGCGGGGCACATGACGAAGTCCCGCCCCCTGCTTTGCGGTGGCCGGGACCGTTGGGGGCGGGGTGTGTGGCCTTATGACACACTTCCGGTGATGCCAGGGGGTGTGGCATATGCTAATGAGTTATGCTAATGAGTCCCCCTAGCTCTTTTTCTACGAAACGACCCCTGGCTTGAACTGTGCATAATATCCCTGCTGTTTTTATTCAGAATGTATTCAGTAGCGGCCATGCTGTGTTTCCTGAGATCAGCATCAAATATATGAGAGGGGTGGGGGAAAGGTCAAGGATTGGCAAAGGAGAATTGAAGGCGGGGCCAAGGGAGAGTCAAGTAGTGGCAGCGGTGGTGGTGGTAGGGACAAGATGATGTAAGGCTTGAGGGATTTTCTGCAATAATACATTTATTTGAGAGATTCGGAAGAGGAGGAGAAGATGTACAGAATCTCCTTGTGTAAAGCGCTTGGGCAGGAGGTCATACTCCATAGAGAAAGCATGAGGAAACCATGGGAAGACAAGAGATGTCATGAAGAAGCTCAGAGAAAACCCACTGCCATCTGACATCCAATGTGGAAAGGCCCAGTGCTATTCTAAACACACTTACATCCTTCCAAACTGTTTGACACCAGTGGACTTAGAAGTGTGTGGCTCTGTTTAGGATTGTACTGTAAGAAGCCCCAAAGGTTTGTTGTGGCTTACTAGCAGTTATGGTTTCGCAACATGCTTCCAACCACATTTCAAGGCCCCTCCCTCTTGCCCCCAACTGGTTCATAGCTGTCGTCTCAGTCTTATTATTTGCTAACCCTTGTCGGTTGCAAGAGAGCCACAATAAATTACAAATCATGCAAAATACTGTACATCTTGAATGTAGCAGAGGTGAAACATGCTCCGGCTTGGGCTTTCTCTCGGTTACTTGGAATTCATAGCACAATATTGTGGACCACCTAGGTTCCCTGACCTGGATGGCCCAAGCTAGCCTGACCTCTTCAGATCTTGAAAGATAAGCAAGGTTGGCCCTGGCCAGTATTTGTATGGGAGACCAATGTTCCCTCTAAGCTGTGGAGTCTTGTGAGCAAAAATTCTACCTTGTGAGCTACAGGCATTAAAGTTGTGAGCGAGCGATTTGCCTACTGCATAAATCAGTTTGCTCTGGAGCCACCCTTGCTGAGCTAAGACAAAAAAGTGTGAGCCAGAGGCTAAAAAACTGTGAGCTAGCTCACACCAACTCAGCTTAGAGGGAACACTGGAGACCACCAAGGATGGCCAGGGTTGCTATGCAGAGACAGGCAGTGGCAAGGTGGCAAACCCCGTCTGTTTGTCTCTTGCCTTGAAAACCCAATGGGGTTGTTGTAAGTCAGCTACAGCCTGACAGTACTGTCAGTGGTCCCTCTAAACTGTGGAGTCTTGTGAGCAAAAATTCTACTTTGTGAGCTACTAACATTAAAGTTGTGAGTGAGTGACTTGGCTACTGCATAAATTACTTTGCTCTGGAGCCGTCCTTCCTGAGCTAAGACAAAACTGTGAGCTGGAGGCTAAAAAACTGTGAGCTAGCTCACCCTAACTCACCTTAGAGGGAACACTGCTGTCCACCACCATTTAGGTTCCGATTGTACCTTGCAAATACTTTCATCTTAATAGTGACAAAAGTGGTATCCAACATCACAGCTGAAAACAGATAGTATTAGAAACAAAACTTGTGTCTGTGTTTCATCCAGCATCCATATTTTCATGCTGAAAGATAGATTTTTTGTTCACAGTCAACTGTGGAAAGTCACAGAATCAAAGTTATAGTACGAATAAATCTTTTAAGCCTCATCACAAACTGGCCTTGTTTTAAGTGTTCTAACAATGTTTGTGATATTTCTTCTAGGGATGCATGGAATGCTTTAGGGGATATGCCCAAAGAAGAAGCTATGATTGCCTATGTTGAAGAGATGAAAAAGGTAAGAGTTGCTGTGGATGAGGAAGGAAGCTAAACTTGTTGTTGTTGTTCAGTCGCACAGTCGAGTCTGACTCTTTGCGACCCCATGGACAAGATCTCGCCAGGCCCTCCTGTTTTCCGCCGTCCTCTGACGTTTGCTCAATTTCATGTTCGTTGCATCTATGACACTGCCTAACCATCTCATCCTTTGCCGTCCCCGTCTTCTTTGACCTTCAGTCTTTCCTAGCATCAGGGTCTTCTCCAGTGAGTGCTACAGTAATTTTATTTTCAGACTCTGCAAGGCAAAGACAGAACTTGTTTCCTGCCAGGCTTCAGAAGAGGTTTCTGGGTGTTACTTGATGGGCTTTACCCTAGGCCAGATTTGTTGTCACACTTTGGGGAACTTTAGGAAAACCACTGCTCTGAAGTACCAATGATGATTCTAGTGCTGAAGTCCGAGTAAACAGCCTGCCATCAATTACTGGATCTGGAACTAATTCACAGGAAAAGAGACGAACATAGGTCTGCAGAGATCTTTGGAATCTAGATGGAAAGAGTTTTATTTCTTAGAAGAAATGCCTTGCCAAACTGCTAGATAATCAAAGAACACAAAAAGTTACATTAAGTTTGATTTCATTTTATTTTTAAAATCCTGTGCAGTTAGGGTCGCTCCTGGCAAACAGTGGGGGATGGGGGGGACTTACCCAGAGACAGAGGAAGGCCCAGGCCACATAGCCAGCATTGCACAGGAAATGACAACATCATGCTGCAACATCACTGCAACACTCCGGTATTTGGGCAAAAACTCTCATGGTAAAAACAAGTTCTACCATAGAGTTTTTGCCCAAGTACCAGAGAGTCACAGCAATGTCACTGGCTTGATGATGTCACTTCCTGTGTGATGCTGGCAATGTGGCCTGGGCCTTCCTCTTTCTCCTGGTAATTCCCTCTGCCGGCCAGCTGATTGGAAGCAGGGGACGAGGCCTGGTGGCAGGGAACTCCCACCTCCACGGGCAATGTTTGGGGAACCCTTTGTGCAGCCCTGGGCTGAAAAGTTGGCAATGTTTGATGTTGTAATTAAGAGTTTGGGATAATGTTGTAACTAGTTAAGGATTTATATTACATTGTTGCAGTGACTTTCAGACCTCCCTTTAACTGCATCACTGATATACAATTCACAAGCTTTTGGTATTCCTACAGATTCTTGAAACCATGCCAGTGACGGACAAGGTTGAAGAACTGCTGCACGTACTGGGCCCGTTCTATGAAATTGTAGAGGACAAAAAAAACAGAGGATCTGGCATAATATCAGGTTGGAATATAGAACTACTTATCACTGTCTTATTAACTGCAAGTTATGTTAAACTGTCATTGACGTAACATGTTCCGTTTCTGTTAACAATAGTTTTAAATGTAACATTTAATTCCTTCTCCGGAGCAGTCCAACAAGGACTGGTTAAAAAAGCCTAGGGAATGCAAATGCATCTGCTACCATTCTCCTGCCCTAACGTCTCTGCAAAAATGTTGCACTCCCAGATTTGTCACAACTGTTTCTTAAATTTTTAGATATTGGTCCTGTATCTCTAACCAACTCTGTTATTTGTTAGAAAAAAAAATTGGAAAAGGAGCTCTTTCTGTTAATAGGAGTGAGCAGCTGCATGTCTACATGTCAAGCAACATATGAGAGCGCTGGGGGTACTGCATTGGAAAATATTCTCACCCAGCTATACGTCACATTTTTATATGTTGAGATTTGTTTTAACACTTTTTCCTCTTTTATTACTTGCACTGAAGGAACGATGGGAGTCTGAGCTGTCTAAACTTTAAATTTACATTGACAGTGCACGTAATTAAGTCTAACAGCCTGGTTGTTGCCTTGAGCAATGGCAACACTGTTGGTTTATCCATCAGCATGGCTAAATTTCAGTTTAAGAGGCTAGGTGCATGTGAAACAAGGAGCTCATCTGTCTTGACTCCAGAAATTCTTTTCTTTAAATAGAGAACAGCCTCGCTTCACACACTACGAATTAGCAGGTACACTACTTGAACTCTCTATCCTTTTAATCTCTGTAGTGGATTCATATAGTATTGTTTCCTTATGCATACGTGTGTCAGAGTCATTAGCCCTTATCAGACACTGGATTTTGGTACTCCATCCACATGTAACATGAGTATTATTGTTATTAACTTCTTTTCTAGCTCACCTTTCTCACTGAGACTCAAGGCAGATCATGAAATATGAAAAACAATTCAATCAGGCAGCTAAGACCTCCAGTAAACAATGCAATAAAACTGTCTGAGGCATGGCTTACCATAACGAAGAAAGAGAGTTACAAAGGAAGAGGACCCTGTAGTAGAAAGGGAGATGATACTTGCGATAAACATTGCAATTGACTACAGCACTGTCCCTTATAGAAGTGACCTCCTGTGCTGTTCCATTATACTGCTGTTCTAATCCCTTCATAAAAATGCCTTCCGGGCCATTTCTGTTTTGCACATTTTGTGAAATGTGCCACTTGCAAACCTGCTCATACATGTGGTGTGGTGGCCATTTTGTCTGAATAGGGTACTGTGCTTATTTTTTCTATTTGCATGCAGCTTTGGTAGGCATGAGTGCATGCCCTCAGAACTCCAGTGTTCAGTTTGCATGTTCTGCACCTGAAAAATACACATGTTGCTCTGTTTCGATAAAATTATGACTGCACATAACAGGAGGATCCAAAAGCAAATGTCTTAAAAGGACTGTTGTTGGCCTGACTATGGGTACCTCATAAATTTGCCTTGTGTGTTTAAGTAGCACAAAGGGCACCAGCAATACCTTTGATATGTATGCAGAGTACAATAGATGTTGTCCACACCCAGAGGTTTTACAGAAAGCAACTACGTTATTATGCAATAGGAACATTAAATGTAACAATTTCATTTGGATTAAAATGTTGCTTACACAGAGGTAGACTGTGGAAACTAATCAGGTTATCTTGTGTTTCACCATCCATCTGTGTTTTGAAAGGATGATGGGAATGAAGTCTTTTTTACTTTGTTTTTGGAAAGATAGGCATTGCTTAAAAAATAATGTGTATTAAAACTACAGATTTAAGGTACTTTTCTGCCACTTGGACTGACAGGCAAAAGGGTAACGTTAGCAACATATGCAGGCCATTGATCAGCGTAATCTCTCTTCACTTGGTGCACTATGGAAAACACTGCTGACCCACTTACAGTCATTCCGGTGAACAAAGCCAAAATAATCTTAGGTCATAAATGCAACTCCATTTATAAAGCACATAAATATTATCAAACAGGGCACTGAATTTGGTGTGAGTAGCTGAGAACATGCCATCTTTGCAGAACTAAATAATTTCTTTGCAGTACTTCCCAGCAAATATAGAATAATGCATGTAGGATAAAATCTTTTCCCCATTCCCTGAAATCATTTCTTACACAATGAGGCATGATTTTGTGGGGAAATTCATTGACCAAATTTAGTATCTGATCTTCATTTGAGACTAGCTTCGCATCATGTCTCAGAACGTCCAGCCTTGATTTGCAAAATACTTCTTTCCATATAAAGGCTACATAGTTTTCTTGGTGGCCATTGGCTGTATAGAAAGGTCATTCTTCTTAAGGGAATGTGTCAGACCTGCTTCTTTAAATATTGTTTTGACATGTCCTAGATAAAGCATAAGATATGTGTGTGTGTGATTGATTGAAAGAATAAAGGGATGAGTAAAAAAGGGATTGAATCCTTCCTGTGCTATCACCTTTATCTCTTACATATCA